GAGTTGCCGCCATGTGATTGGCTGATTAGAAATTAAGTGTTAACGAGCAGTTGGACAGGTGTACCTAATAAAGTGGCCGGTGAGTGTATATTATATATTAATGGTGAACACAACTTTAAATAATACAATATATAATAATAAAATATAGTATTTTTATGTTTATGTTTTTAACAGATATTAGAAGTTTTTTTTTTCTGCTGCCTTTCATTTTATTATACCTTTTTTCTTCTGTCGTGTATAGAGTTTATTTTGTTTTTAAGGAAATAAATACATTTTTAAAACAAAAATATAATAGCTTACCTTAGATATACAACAATTTGTTGCTAATAAAATAACATTAATTGTTCTCTATTAAATATATATTAGAAAACTCACTTGTAGCCATTTCTGTGTTGAATTAAATTTGTGCATTTATTGTTTTAGGTTTGTGAGATCATCTTGAGCCATCAGTGCTACACTGCTGCAGGCTGACAGGTTCCTGCAGGACAGTTCTCTGAAGCAGCTCTGAAGACCTTGGAGGCTCACCCAGTGCTGAACAAGACCAAGAAGTCTGATCTAGTTCAGGAGCTGCAGTGGTGGATCTGTACCAGCTGCTCTTCATGGAGAACAATCTGCAGGACACCTTCAGAGACTGTGACTCTGCTGAAGGTTCTCATCACATCTCCTCTGACCACAGCTGAATCTGAGAGGAGCTTCTCAACACTGAAGAGAATCCAGACTTTCCTCAGGTACAACATCACATCTCACTGCACTGGCCATGCTCTATAGAGAAGAATCTGGTTAAAACATCCCTGACTTTAACCAGAGTCATGAAGAAATTTGCTTCTCAGTTACAAAAGTTGAATTTATGTATTAAAAATAAAAACTACATGACATCGTAATGCTGTTTTATTATTTGGATTTGTTCAATAAATACACTGTCGTGAAACAACTTAGTACAAGTTTGATTGCTTTTTGAGATATGTCTATTTTTGGAGTTGTAAAATCACGTTATTAAACTTTTACATGCAATAACTTACAAAAAACAGTGCTTTAATGAAGTCATTTAATATTTCAAAAACAGTATCTAGCACAGTAATGGTGAGACTGGTCAAACACTGGAGACAAATAGTATACAAAACAATTCATGTCAGAAAAAAAAAGCAAGAGAAGACTAAAATGCATCAAATACGAGTCCAGTAAATGATTAAGAAGCATAAATAGCATCGTGTCCCATTACTGCTACCTTTGTCAGATAAAACCCCTGAGTTTGAAAAAAAGATGTAGAAATAAGAGAAATAGAAACAGTAAAAAGTTGGCAGTTTTCTAGATTTTTAAGGAGAAAAAAAGATCGTTGGATGAAGCGGCTGTGTTCCTGCTGATACCAGACATGATTCATTTTTTTCAAGTTTTAATATTTACAAAACAGCAACAACACAAAAAATAAGCGTCTATTACCCATGTCCATGTCGACTGAAGACATAACGATAATAACACTGATAATACTGACTTTTAACTATTTACCACATTTTTTAACTCAATTTTGACTTTTTTTTTTGAAAGAGAGTGTTAGTTTAAGCTTAATACAAAAAGAGAATGAAAGAAAACACCAAACACAAAAAGAAGTGACACGTTTATACAGGATGGAGTTGAGAGGCACCAAACACTCTGTGCAAACAGGGAGGGTGTGTGTGGGAGGGGGTGCTGCACGGCAGCCCAGTCCTTCTCTTTCTCTGGCGCAAGTCTCCTCTCGAGTCACACTCGACAGCCAAGTCGTAGACTGCCCCCAGCTGTCGGCTTTACTGCAGACACCAGGAGACAAGACAGTTCCCTAAAGTACCACTCGGAACGATCACAACCACGCTCAAAGGCAACAGGTTTGCTCCACAGACACTGGAGAGGCCAACTCACCCCCCCCCCCCCAACCCAACCCTCCCATTTCACTTGAGTCACACAGTCCAAAAAAAAAAAAAAAACAGAGTCAGAAACATACAAGGCTACAAGGAACCATCATCATGGCTCCTGCTATCTGTTCAACACTTTGTACTGATCTGGTGAAGACGGCCTCTTCGTGTCAGTCGAGCTGAAGATCTCAGAAGTTCTCATCGAGTCAGTTCGCTTCATGGAAGAAACACATCATAACAAACACAAGACAGAGTCCAGAGGGAAGGAACATCTGCTCCGGTGCAGAGTGAGTCTTGAGAAGACAGCAGACGTTGAACTGGTTTGGGATGGACTGCTTGGTTCTGATCATTTAACTCTATAGTCTAAACTGGTTATTAAACGTTTTTAAGTTGATGTGCAAAAACTAAAAACTGTTTGTTTTTTTTTTGCCAGTGTTTCAACCCTGAACAGGTTGTGCTTCAGAGAGCAGTGAAGTATTTTCTGTCATCAACGAATCACATTTTATTTTACAGTATTTTTATTCCTCCTTGATTTAAAGGCTGATGCTTCCTGCTGCCTCTGATCAACAAGCCAAGCATCAACAGATCATTCACTCTTTATTTTTATTTATTTATTTATTATTAATATTTTTTCTTATTGGAACATCAACAATGAAAAAACTACTGTGTCCAAAGTTCTTCTAATAACACCAAAATACACTCTGAGCTCCTTCAGTCTACTTTGCTTTGATTTCCAAACCCTCCCCCCTCCCACCCCCCACTTCCTGTTAATTACAAGACCTGGAACTTCCAGGAGTTCTGGTCCTTGTAGTCCAGGCAGTCAGCAGCGTTGAAGTTGAGCTTCCAGGCAGCTTGGTCCTTGTAGTCCAGACAGTCGACGGCTCCGAAGCCCAGCGAGGCGGCCGTGTAGCCCTGCGAGGAGAGGGAGGCGGGCGACTGGCTGAGGGGGCCCCCCATGGAGGAGGCCGTGATGGGGCTCAGGGCCCCGCCGGTGCCCGACAGCTGCGGGTGCATGGGGGACAGGTAGGAGCTGCAGTCCAGGCCTGTGAAGTAGGAGGAGGAGCCCGCGTAGCTCTGGCTGTAGGCCGGGGCCTGGCTGTAGGTCATGGGGTAGGTGGTGGCGCGCTGCATGCAGGGGGTGGTCGAGGCGGACAGAGGGTCCGGCAGCGGCGAGATGGAGGCCGGGCTCCAGATGGAGACGGTGGCGCTGGCCGAGCTGGAGCTGGGGGTGATGGCGGTGCCCGGGGGCGGGGGCGGGGGGCTGTAGGGTCCGTTGGCGGTGTTGGCGCTGGCCTCGGTGTTGGCCTCGCGCGCCGGGGAGGCCTTCTTCTTCGGGGGCCGGGGTTTGGACTGGCCCGTGCTCTGCTGCTGCTGCTGGCGGCACTTGGCGCGACGGTTCTTGAACCAGACCTGCAGAGCAGAGAGCAGGGAGGATCCAGAACACGAGACAGGAAGAGACAGGAAGAGGAAAATCAATTAAAGTCATCAGTTTCTGTGCGTAACGTTCGCGCACACCCGCTCTGCTTTACAGAGAGAGTAAAGTACAGCTCTTTGAAATGTGTCACCTGCACTCTGGACTCCGGCAGGTTGATCTTCAGGGCCACCTCCTCCCTCATGAAGATGTCTGGATACCGAGTTTTGGCGAAGAGAGCCTCCAGGATGTCCAGCTGCGCGCGCGTAAAGGTGGTGCGCTCCCGACGCTGTTTGCGCGGAGTGCCTGCCAAAACACAATTATTA